GTGGCACCAAATCACAACAACAAGTGGCTTCATGGACAGATAGAGCTGGGTGTCATCTGCATAGCAGTGTAAATGTATGCTATGTCTTCTAATGATGCTGCCTAAGGGAAGCATGTATAATGTAAACAGAATTGGTCCTAGCACTGAACCCTGTGGAACTCCATAATTAACCTCAGTGTGTGAAGAGGACTCTCCATTTACATGCACAAACTGGAGTCTATTAGATAGATATGATACAAACCACTGCAGTGCAGTACCTGTAATACCTACAGCATGTTCTAATCGCTCTAATAGGATATTATGGTCGACAGTATCGAACGCTGCACTGAGGTCTAGCAGGACAAGCACAGAGATGAGTCCACTGTCAGAGGCCATAAGAAGATCATTTGTAACCTTCACTAAAGCTGTTTCTGTGCTGAGCTCTGAAACCTGACTGAAACTCTTCAAATAAACCTCTGCAGATGATCTGTTAGCTGTTTGACAACTACTCTTTCAAGGATGTTTGATATGAAAGGAAGGTTGGAGATTGGCCTATAATTAGCTAAGACTGCTGGGTCTAGAGATGCTTTTTGAGTAAAGGTTTAACTACAGCCAGCTTGAAGGCCTGTGGTACATAGCCGATCATTAGAGATAGGTTGATCATATTTAAGATCGAAGAATTAGTCTGAAAGAAGCTGTTTTAGCTCCTCCTATTTTGAGGCCACCCTTTCTTCTGACTGGTCAGCTTCTGGAAGGCTGCTGAGGGGCAGCACTCTCTGTACTTGTTGTGAGAGCTGTGTATCATACAGGGAGTGCAGAATTATTAGGCAAATGAGTATTTTGTCCACATCATCCTCTTCATGCATGTTGTCTTACTCCAAGCTGTATAGGCTCGAAAGCCTACTACCAATTAAGCATATTAGGTGATGTGCATCTCTGTAATGAGAAGGGGTGTGGTCTAATGACATCAACACCCTATATCAGGTGTGCATAATTATTAGGCAACGTCCTTTCCTTTGGCAAAATGGGTCAAAAGAAGGACTTGACAGGCTCAGAAAAGTCAAAAATAGTGAGATATCTTGCAGAGGGATGCAGCAGTCTCAAAATTGCAAAGCTTCTGAAGCGTGATCATCGAACAATCAAGCGTTTCATTCAAAATAGTCAACAGGGTCGCAAGAAGCGTGTGGAAAAACCAAGGCGCAAAATAACTGCCCATGAACTGAGAAAAGTCAAGCGTGCAGCTGCCAAGATGCCACTTGCCACCAGTTTGGCCATATTTCAGAGCTGCAACATCACTGGAGTGCCCAAAAGCACAAGGTGTGCAATACTCAGAGACATGGCCAAGGTAAGAAAGGCTGAAAGACGACCACCACTGAACAAGACACACAAGCTGAAACGTCAAGACTGGGCCAAGAAATATCTCAAGACTGGTTTTTCTAAGGTTTTATGGACTGATGAAATGAGAGTGAGTCTTGATGGGCCAGATGGATGGGCCCGTGGCTGGATTGGTAAAGGGCAGAGAGCTCCAGTCCCACTCAGACGCCAGCAAGGTGGAGGTGGAGTACTGGTTTGGGCTGGTATCATCAAAGATGAGCTTGTGGGGCCTTTTCGGGTTGAGGATGGAGTCAAGCTCAACTCCCAGTCCTACTGCCAGTTTCTGGAAGACACCTTCTTCAAGCAGTGGTACAGGAAGAAGTCTGCATCCTTCAAGAAAAACATGATTTTCATGCAGGACAATGCTCCATCACACGCGTCCAAGTACTCCACAGCGTGGCTGGCAAGAAAGGGTATAAAAGAAGAAAAACTAATGACATGGCCTCCTTGTTCACCTGATCTGAACCCCATTGAGAACCTGTGGTCCATCATCAAATGTGAGATTTACAAGGAGGGAAAACAGTACACCTCTCTGAACAGTGTCTGGGAGGCTGTGGTTGCTGCTGCACGCAATGTTGATGGTGAACAGATCAAAACACTGACAGAATCCATGGATGGCAGGCTTTTGAGTGTCCTTGCAAAGAAAGGTGGCTATATTGGTCGCTGATTTGTTTTTGTTTTGTTTTTGAATGTCAGAAATGTATATTTGTGAATGTGGAGATGTTATATTGGTTTCACTGGTAAAAATAAATAATTGAAATGGGTATATATTTGTTTTTTGTTAAGTTGCCTAATAATTATGCACAGTAATAGTCACCTGCACACACAGATATCCCCTAAAATAGCTAAAACTAAAAACAAACTAAAAACTACTTCCAAAAACATTCAGCTTTGATATTAATGAGTTTTTTGGGTTCATTGAGAACATGGTTGTTGTTCAATAATAAAATTATTCCTCAAAAATACAACTTGCCTAATAATTCTGCACTCCCTGTATATAAAAACAGCAATAAGGAACCTGTAGCTGTGAGGTTTACTTATGTGTTTAATACCAGTGTCTGAATATGACAGGAAGTGAGGTCAGGCCCTCGGGTACTTGTCACATCATCAACTCTTCATCAGCTGTCCAGACCTCCATATGTGATTAATGCCGTATTTAAGCAGCTGTTTATTGTGACTGCATCTCTCTGACAGCAGGAGGTGGTGGTGGGTGGAGGCATTTACTCAGTAAACATGGAGTGCCGCCCGGCCCGGAAAGCAAACAGAGCTGCACAATCAGCGTTTCAGGTCGAAGTGATTTCCAAAGCTCACCGACCTCCAACACACTCGAAGCGCTTCATAACTGGGCTTTTATTTTAGAGGGCTCTGCTGTAGTTTCTCTGGTCATTTTTTATAAATGATATTTGGTCCTGAGCTTCTCTGCTCCTTCATCCTGCTCTCAGCTCCTCGTCCTCCTCTGTGGAGAACAGAAGCTCTCAGCTCTAAACTCATAAGTTCTAATATTCAGAGAGACGGTGGATATACACTACCTGTCAAAGGTCTGGACACACCTCACTTATTTTTACGACATTCGACAACGTTGATACTGAAGACATCAAATATATGAAGCAACATGTATGCAATCATGTAGCAAAGAAAAAACAGATAAATGTGTTTATATTTTAGATTCCACCCTTTGATTTGTCGACAGCGCTGCAAACCCTCGGCCTTCTCCCAGTGAGCTTCATGATGTCGTCACCTGACATGGCTTCACCTCACAGGTGTGCCCGTCAGGGTTCATTGGTGGAGTTGGTACAGCTGACAGCCTGTTTGACAACTGTTAGAATTCATCTTATGGGAGGAACCAATCAGCTAATTAAAGAGAAACAAGAGTCCATCATTAGTGTGTGTATAAATCCTGCACTTAACACTATGTTACTCTGTTTGTGTCGGGGACCCGATCCTTGGGGTGGACCAGTTTTTGGCGCAGCGTGTTTTGGGGTTTAAAAGCCACAGAGACCTGGTGTTTAGAAAAAATACATCTCTGCTGCTCCGATACTCCTGACACGTACGGCATCACTGCAGGTTTTCTCTTAGGCAGCGGTTGTCCTTCTCTCCTGGATCAGCTGGAGCTTTCCCAGCTTTGACAAATGTCTTGACCATCAGTGACTGTTGATCAACGACAATCTGCAATTTTAATGATCAAGAAACTGACCTCACAGCCCATCGTTCACACAGTGGGCTGGTTTCAGTCTTTATTTCTGGTTTATAAGGTTGTAAACTTGCAGTCAGCTGAGACTGAAGGAGTCACCTGACGATGCTGAAACATCCAGATGAACAGAATCAACCTTTTCTGCACCTGGATAATCGCACATCAACAACCAAGCAAAGGGTGGTGACTCTACAGAATCAAAGTTATTTCACACTTTTTGTTTCCCACGTGTTCATTCATAGTTCTGATGCCTTCAGTGAGAATCATGAAAATAAAGAAAAAAACATTAAATGAGAGGCTGTGTCCACACTTTAGACTGTAAAAGGTCTGCAGCGCACATAGATTAGATAAATAGATGAGAAGTGAAACAGAAACTCTGAATGCCCCTCAAAGTAAAGCTTTGAGAGTTTTTGTGTCAGAGCCTGTCAGACCTCTCCCTCAGCAGCACTCAGTCAGTGTGACGGCGCCCTCTGCTGGTTCCTCGCAGCGTCTCAGCTGGACTCAGGCTCGAGTGCCAGACGTGCACCACCTTATGTTGTCGTTGTGCTGGAAGGTGAAACTCATCTTCATCTTTCTGGGACCCCTGCAAACAGAAACCACCACACCACGCAGACCGCCAAGGTGGCGCACACGGGTGCAGCTTGCACTTAACCTCCGCCCTCTCCATCTGCAGGGGGAGCAGCTCTTACGAGGCCCTGAGCGGCGGCTTGAGCATCGAGGGCTTCGAGGATTTTACCGGCGGCATCGCAGAGTTACGACCTGAAGGAAGCCCCGCCCTTCCTGTTCCACATCATTTTTCCTTCCCACTGTCAGCAAAGTTCTTGATCATAGGGGGTCATGTGATTGTTGGGGTTTCTCTGTATTTTTGGAGGGTTCTTACTTTACAATATAGGCACCTTCAAGTGTCTGCTGTCTGTTTTGTGACAAATAGATCGAATTGAAATAAGCCTGATCTTGAAAGTAGAGATAGTGTCTGTCTCCCGAATCCAAACTGGAAGCTGGTTCCACAGAAGAGGGGCCTGAAAACTGAAGGCTCTGCCTCCCATTCTACTTTTAAATACTCTAGGAACAACAAGTAGGCCTGCAGAGCGAGAGCGAAGTGCTCTAATAGGGTGATATGGTGCTACAAGGTCATTAAGATAAGATGAAGATGCTGAGGCACTGAAATCAATATATAAATCATGATGTCACTGGCTTCCTGTTAATGTTACAGTGCCCGATGTCACTAAGCACCAATGACATCATGGAGAGGACCAGTCAGAGAGTAAATGAGTACATTTACTGTATTACTAATGTACTTGTAGTGAAGTTCTTCTGTTTTATTCTACTTTCATATGTTGGATTCAAATATTTCACTTTGTTTTCTGTCACTTTAATTATTGAAACATGCAGTCACTTCTTTACTCACCAGGGGCCCACATGTTCAGTCTAGTGTCCTCTGACACTGAGCCATGTGTCAGAGCAGCTCTGAGCCACCGGCGTGGTCCTCACAGGTGTCCCTGTAGATATGACTTCATGGAGACACCAACCCTCCTCTTCCTCCTCACTGCACTGTTAGCACTTGGCCCCAACCCTAAAAATATCCTTTCCAGATTTCAGATTTCCAGCTCGTATGAGACGGAGCTCATCAGAAGCTGGCCAAAGGCCACACCTACTCCATCGCGGCGGCCGAGCAGGTGAGGGAGAATCTGTGATCATGTGATCAGATCGACAGCTGGACAGATGCTCACAGGTGTAACGTTCTGCAGGTGCATCACTGTGGTTCTCCGGTGGAGCTGATCCGGATCAGGAACCTCTGGGGTCAGGTGGAGTGGACGGGCGCCTGGAGCGACAGGTGAGTCATGGTGCTCTGAGGTTCTGGAGCATCATCCTTAGCTGTGGTTTCACTGTGGTCAGCTCGAAGGAGTGGGGCGGCGTTCGGGCAGAGGAGAAGAGGCGGCTGGATTGCTGCGCTGAGGACGGCGAGTTCTGGTAGGTGGAGCCTGACAGTAGTGGGTTAAAATGTCTGCAGCTGCTGCAAACTCAGCCCATCTCTGCCGCCTGCAGGATATCCTACCACGACTTTCTGAGTCTCTTCTCCCGCCTCGACATCTGTAACCTGACACCTGACACGCTGACCAGCAACGAGGTCGGCCGCTGGAACTTTGCTGAGTTTGAGGGCACGTGGAGGGTGGGATCCATCGCCGGCGGCTGCAGGAACTACCCCGGTAGCCCACAGGAAGTGACGCACTCTGGGTGATGATGTTTGATGTTCTTGATGCAGAGCGCTCAGCTAACATGTGCTCCTGTGTCTCCGCAGCCATCTTCTTCATCCAGCTGGACGACGTGGACGATGATCCTCACAATGGCGAGGAAGGCTGCACCATCCTCATTGGTCTGATGCAGAAAGATGCTCGAAGGGAGAGGCGCTTCGGACGTGACCTCAACACCATCGGCTTCGCCATCTACGAGGTTCAAACGCACCCGGCACTGAGCTGATCACTTCCTGTTTAGCTTTGCTGTGCATGAACAAAGGTTTGGCGAGTCTCATGCTCTCTGTCGGTGTGCTTCCAAGTGCCCGATCAGGTGAGAACACAGCAGAAGTTCACCGAGTACACGGCTCCTGCGATGACCTCAGCAGGTTAGAAGGTTGATGCCTAAGGTGGACCTCATTCGTTAATATCTCCATGGAAACGCCCTAATGAGCATAAAAAACTAGCCCAAAAATCACAGTCACACTCAAACCTCTGTTAGCCAATCAGAATCAGGCTTCTTGACACATTCTGCCAACACCCACACCTGCGCATATAAAGAAACAGGTGGAGGTGCAGAGAGACGCCGAGCATCGCCATAGAAACCGTATCATGTTGAGGTCTGAATGTTTCTAACATTTAATATGAACCCTGCTGTTTGGTGTTGATGTCTTTATTTCATCTTCCCCCTCCGACATCACGTTCCCCGTCTGCATTTGTTTCATGCGTCGTGTTCATCACTCAATGTTTCTCTTTTTAAATATTCAACCTTTATTGAACCAGGACGATCCCACTGAGATTAAAACTCTTTTTAAGGGAGACCTGGCCAAATATCACACAGTTACAAAGATTAAACACACACAAGAAAATAAAATTAAATGACAATCTACATGAAACAGTTACATGTTATGGAACTGGCCTCCAGGACTCTTAGTTTTGATTTAAAAAAACGAATGGTCCAAGGAGCGTGGAAAGAAAAGCGTCTGGACTTCTTTAAGGCTGCGGCCACACTACTGCGCTTTCATTTTGAAACGCGTGGTTTTCTCTCTCCCTTTTGGCCTCCTGTCCACACTGAGACGCGTTTTCCCTGACAGAAAACGAAGTGTTTTGAAAATGCTGCTTTTGTGTCGCAGTGTGGACAGCGAAAAGGGCGACTTTATAAAACAATGATATATGTTAGTCATGTGATGCAGTGACCAATTAAACTAAGATAGTGGAGGGCATTACACAGCATTGTTTTGTCTGCCCTATTAAAGATTAATATCAGTCTGTACACGTGCTTCAGTAGCTTTTCTTCAAATTCTTTAATTCTCACTCGCTTTTGCAACTTTGTACTTTTGTGTTACTCGCAGCAACAACTCCACCTCATTGTTAGTCCATTTAAAAACTCGGTGCTTTTCCTCGACATTTTGCCGCGACGTTTCAAAGAGCTGGAAAGTAAATAAATGGCAGACAGAAATGAGGCAGGTCGAATCTTCTTGCGTTTCACACATGCACAGTACTGGAACGTCAGCGTTTTGGGCCGTTTCAATGTGAATGAAAGACTCTGTGAAAACGACTGAAAACGATAGCGTGGACGCGTTTTCAAATCTATCCAGGCTACTGCGGACGTAGCCAAAGTTGTCTGTGAGGTGTGAAAACAGGTGTGGGTCACAATCACCCCAAACCTTGGCTGATTGTGACCCACACAGTATCAACCATTCAAAGCACTGAAGCAGGGCTCTAGACTAACTTTTTGCCATGGTTGCACTGGTGCGCCTAAAAATAAAATTTAGGCGCACCAGCACAAAATTTAGGCGTACCCAAATTTTTTAACTGCATTACTTAACACCGCAGTTTTACATGTTCACGTTTTTTTTGATTTGTAAATGATTAACTAACAACCTTTCAAAATGATTAACTTGACACCCCCTTTGCTGCCCAAATTAACAGCAGCTCCATCAGCCCCCATAGCAATGATTTTATCCAACCAGTTACTGCACTGGTCCCCAAGAGCAGCAAATGCTTTCTTTGAGGCAGCATCAATTCCTAAACAAATTTAAAAAAATACCATTTACTTATCAGATCAAGAGTTTACAATGCAGTCTTTTTCAGTTTGAGTTTCTATATTCATGTATTATTGCTATGTTTAATTTTCAATGATAAGAATATGCTAGATATGGTTAATTCAGTAACACGACGTAATATTATTAATCATATACATAGGCTACGTGACATGACATGGCTTACCTTGGGCATGGGCATGCTGGACCTCAATGTGTCCAATCAGTATATTCGCTGGTCTTCCTTTTTGCAAGATACGAGCGTACACAATGACACATTCTTTTGTGGCGATGTCTGTGTCTCCATCGATCAGGAAGGCCATGTATGTACTGTTCGCAATTTCCACTGACGTCTTTTTTTTCAGTGTGTCAGCGATTACGCCTATAAACTGGGCGCACGCAACATCATTGCTGTATGTGGGGTTTATGTCCAAGCCATTTTTCTGTGAAGAGTTATTTCTGACTTGAACTTAGTAAACGGAACTTCTTCTTTTGCAATATTGTAGGCGATGTTAAACTTAATGATCATCTCGGCCTCCTCCGATGACCTGTTTACTCCTGCCTGCCGCTGAAAGGCAGTGGGGAGCGGGGACATTTTGGCAGAGCATTTATCGCGGCATATAATGTGTCTTCTCGATGCTGTATGCTTTTTCAGCGTTTCAATTCGAAACGTATTAGCACCAGTGACAAATGCAGTGTTGCCGGCCATGGTCTTTCCACACTCGCGACAATAAATGCAGTGCATCATATTGTCAGCTTGGCTGTATCTTAGCCAGGGAAACTGGTCAAGCCACTCGATTCGAAATTTATACATTTTCTCACTTTTACTTTCAGTGGACTCCGGCTGGGAGTCGATCGTATGTGGCTCATTTTCTGATGCCGTCTCCGGACCAGTGTTTGACAAAAACAGAGGTTGATGGCTCCGTGTCAGAGCGCTGGCTCAGAATTTTGGACTGATCAGGCCTTAACTTAACGAAAAAGTTATCAATTGTTCTTTTCATATTTTCTCAATACCAACTTCATACACTTCTGACCTGGGCTACTCACCCTTCTCTATCTGCCCGCACTTTCAAACGTAAACACAAGTAGGTCTGCAGGAATATCTGGACCACGGCCAATCACAGAGGTCCCCGCCTCTGAGTATCTCTGATTGGTTTAGAACACGACATGGGCATAATGTGTGTCTGTTGTTGAACACACGGAGACTTTCAGGGTTGCTGAACCTTTTTTTTCTGAGAAAATACTTGGTTGCACCGGTGCAACCAAGTATTTTTTATTAGTCGCACCATGGAGAAATTTGGTCGCATTTGCGACCAAATTGGTCGCACTCTAGAGCCCTGTGAAGCATTCATATGTAGAATATCTCCATAATGCAGCAACAGTAGAAATGTTGCAGCAACAAGTCGCTTCTTTGTATTAACAGAAAAACAACTTATTGTGAAAATCAAAGTTTGTTTGTCTAGATGTAGTTTAAAGGTGAGCGAATCATCAATAAAGACGGGGTGGCTGTAACTCAAGAGGTACAGCAGGTTACCTACTAATCAGAAGGTTGTTGGTTTGATCCCTGGCTCCTCCAGTCTGCATACCAAGTATCCTTGGGCAGCATAATATAGAGTATGAATGTAGTTAGGAAGCATCTCAGTTTAGAGGAAGTGCTTGTGTGAATGTGGCTTGTTGTATAGAGCGCTTTGAGTACTCCAGGAGAGAAGAAAAGCGCTATATAAGAATCGGTCCATTTAAAGATACCTGGATATTTATACGTAAAGTAAAGAAAGTAAAGTAAAGTGTGCGTGTTAGTCCCCATAGGGAAATAGTTCCTCTGCATTTAACCCATTCACCCAGTGAAGCAGTGGGCAGCCCCAGTGCAGCGCCCGGGGAGCAGTGTGTAGGGACGGTACCTTGCTCAGGGGTACCTCAGGGTAGCCGTTCAGTGGAGTCGAACCACCGACCTTCCGATCATGGGGCCACCACTCTACCTACTGAGCTATCCCTGCCCATGCCCGTGTGAACCAACTTCCTTGATTGGGAAAACAACATGAGCTTTGTTTTGTCTGCATTGAGAACAGGTTTAAGTAATGAGTGCTGGACTTTCTGCAAGGAGTCAGAGGCTTGGACAGCAGTTGGACCACAGCTGTAAATAACTGTGTCATCAGCACAGAAGTGCAAGTTTGCATCTGGCACAATGTAAATGATGAATAGAAGAGGACCTAATACAGAGTCCTGTGGCACTGACACTTTCACTGCAGCTGTGACAGTTCTGTGATTTTTCCTCAAACATGATTCAGATAAAATATCATAGGTGTACAAAAACTGCTTTAACTACTCGCACACAGAGAAAGGAACAAAGTTAAATGGCTGACCAATGTATGCTAGTCAGTCATCTAATGAGGTAGCTGTGGCTCAGGTGGTAGAGCAGATCAGCTACTAATTGGAAGGTTGGTGGTTCGATCTTGGCTTCCCCAGTCTGCATGCCAAATATCCTTGGCAAGATACTAACCCCAAGTTGCCCTCCGATGCGTTCATCAGAGTGTGAATTTAGCTTGTGTGAGTGGGTGAATGAGAGTAGAAAAGCGCTATATAAGAATCAGTCTATTTACCATTTTACGCTGGAGGGTTTGTGCTGGATTTTACAGAGTCAAACACAGAGACAGACGATATATAGTGCTTGTTAAAGCAGTTCATAATCTCCTTCCTATCGTAAACAGGAACAGAGTCCTTAAAAACATAGGCCGGTAAAGCATTAGAGCTGCTGCTCACTGAAAGAGACTTAATGATTTTCCACAACTGCTGTGGGTTATTTATGTTCTCCATCCATCCATCCATCTTCATCCGCTTTATCCGAGGCCGGGTCGCGGGGGCAGCAGCCTAAGCAAAGAGGCCCAGACCTCCCTCTCCCCAGCCACCTCCTCCAGCTTATCCGGGGGAATACCAAGGCGTTCCCAGGCCAGCCGAGAGATATAATCTCTCCAGCGTGTCCTGGGTCTGCCCCGGGGCCTCCTCCCGGTGGGACATGCCTGGAACACCTCACCCAGGAGGCGCCCAGGGGGCATCCTTGTCAGATGCCCGAACCACCTCAGCTGGCTCCTTTCGATGTGGAGCAGCAGCTGCTCTACTCTGAGCCCCTCCCGGATGGCCGAACTTCTCACCCTATCTCTAAGGGAGAGGCCAGCCACCCTTCGGAGGAAGCTCATTTCTGCCGCTTGTATCCGCGATCTCGTTCTTTCGGTCACTACCCACAGCTCGTGGCCATAGGTGAGGGTAGGGACGTAGATCGACCGGTAAATTGAGAGCTTCGCTTTTACACTCAGCTCCCTCTTCACCACGACGGACCGGTGCAGCGTCCGCATTACTGCAGCTGCAGCCCCAATCCGTCTGTCGATCTCCGGCTCCCTTCTCCCATCACTCGCGAACAAGACCCCGAGATACTTGAACTCCTCCACTTGGGGCAGGAACTCATCCCCGACCCGGAGTGGGCACTCCACCCTTTTCCGGCTGAGAACCATGGCCTCAGATTTGGAGGTGCTGATCCTCATTCCCGCTGCTTCACACTCGGCTGCGAACCGTTCCAGTGCGAGCTGGAGGCCTTCACCCGATGAAGCCAACAGAACCACATCATCCGCAAAAATCAGAGATGAGATTCTGAGGCCACCAAAGCGAAAGCCCTCCGCCACTTGGCTGTGCCTAGAAATCCTGTCCATAAAAATTATGAACAGAACCGGAGACAAAGGGCAGCCCTGGCGAGCCCATCACCCACCGGGAACGAGTCCGACTTATTGCCGGCAATGCGAACCAAGCTCTTGCAACGGTTGTATAGGGATCGAATGGCCCGTAGCAATGGGCCAGACACCCCATATTCCCGCAACACCTCCCACAGGACACCCCGAGGGACACGGTCGAATGCCTTCTCCAAGTCCACAAAACACATGTAGACTGGTTGGGCAAACTCCCATGCACCCTCAAGTATCCTGGAGAGGATAAAGAGCTGGTCCAGTGTTCCGCGACCAGGACGAAAACCGCATTGTTCCTCCTGTATCCGAGGTTCGACTAGCGGACGAACTCTCCTTTCCAGCACCCTGGCATAGACTTTCCCAGGGAGGTTCTCAGTGGTGACAAATAGTCTTCTGATTTAGCTTTCTTAATAGAGGAAATACATTTGTTTCTTATTTGTCCGAAAGAAGCCAATCAGTGGGAGAACCTGTTTTCCTAACTTTGGCCAAGGTTACGCTCATGAATGATATCTGCCAGCTCTGGGAGAACCTGGCATTTTTTCCTAAATCTCTTTAATGGAGCATGTTTATTCACAACTTACATCCCTAAAAAATGTCCACGCTACTCCTACACCAGGGATCAATCCTATTTTCCTCCAGTCATTGTTGGGACTTGGGCACCTCAGTGTTTCTATTAACAGCAGCATCACAGCGGACACTTAAGTCACAAGACCCCCAAGGATGAGAATTTATGAGAAACATTTGTCAGAATCAGGATAACCAAGGTAGACTTTTCAGGGCTTTGAACCAGCTGGGTAAGATTGATAGAATCACAGAAAGATTTGAAATCATGAAACAGCTTTGAGCCAATCCCAGTTAGAGTCACCGGCTAACCCAAGCTCACTGTAGTCTGGACAGGAAACGCTCCTGTAGAGGCAGAAGGACAACAAACAGATGAACCATTGTGGCATCAAACTTTAACATAAGCAGCAACAGTGCCACCTTTCTTAAGCCTGTAAGCCGGTACGATAAACACTGTATCCAGTCATGCTAATATAGTCATCAGATATATACTTAGACACGTTTCAGAAATTAAATATCCACATCTGTTGATCGAACCCAAACCCTGACCATATCCATCTAACAAACTGCACACACTAAGATGAACAATCTTCAGGTGAGGATTTAAATCCAGATGGTGTCTGAGCTCAGGACCGGGTTAGGTTGCACATTATCAGATAAGAGCACTAATAAGACGGGAGTCTCTGCTTCGTAATATTACGTACTGAATTGGACTTTTCAAATGTTGAAAGTAAGCACAATGTTTCATAACTCGTGAGGTAATCATGCAAAGCAAGAAGGTTTTGAAGTTGAGGTACATCTTTGGGTGAATCAGGTGATAAGTTCAAGTCCTGTGCCAAATGCATTGATGGTTGTACAGGATGTAGAGCAGCACTGCTGTATGTGGACCTGGGAACAATGAGCATGCTGTTAAATGTGCTCAGTGCCCCAAAGTCCCCCAAACCAATAAGGAAAATAAGGTTACAAAGAGCCAAGAGCTATCTGTAACACACACTTGTTGATGCAGAGTTAAGCAAACATCAGCGAGCTGCACAAACCTAGACAAGCAACAAAGGCTTCACTGGAGCACATCTAAGACTAAAGATGTGATCACTGATTTTGGAACGAGCACTTACACACGAAGTCCTCTTCTAAAGTGCAGGGGTGTGTTTATCGACTCAGGGCTGAAGTTTAAAGCAAACTGAAGCTGTGTGCCAGAAGCCTCATCGGCGACTCTCGAGCCTCAGAGGCTTTCTCACTCGCACTTTGATAAAAACACGAGGGTTTCATTTCATCAGCTTTTACTGATTACATGTTTAAGTAACAGCTGATTGGTGAAGCACATCCCTGTACAGCAGTTAGCAGTTGGCCGTTTGCACGGCGAGTCTCAGCTGTTGTTGTTGTTGTTGTTTGCTGCCTGTGAGGATGGATGACTGCAGAACAAACGGCCTACAGGTGCATTTAAAATAACCACAACCTGAATCAAATAAATGCCTTGGTAGAATTCAGAGATGCCTCCGTCTCCAGGTCTCACCTTCTTATTCCTTTCTCTCCTTCTCTTTTTCTCTGTCTTCTCTTTTTTTCCCTCTCCTTTTCTCTCTTCTTCTCCTTGCTTCTCCTTTTCTTTCTTCCTTTCTCCCTCTTCTTCATCTTTCTCTCGTGTTTTTTTTGGTTTTCTCTTTTTTTTTTTTTTTTTTTTCTGTCTGCAGCCTCTCACCTTCTTATTCTTCAGCGGTCCGTATAAAGGTCGTTCTAACGTCCGCCTGGGCCCGGACGTCCTCCTGAGAGGCCAGTCAGTGGCTCGCAGTCACGCCTTCATCAACCTGAGGGAGGTATGCGATCGCTTCAAATTGCCACCCGGAGAGTACGCCATCGTCCCGTCCACCTTCGAACCGCACCGCAAAGGAAGCTTCGTACTGAGGGTGTTCACGGAGAAGGAAGCCCACACCAGGTCCCGACTTCAGGGTGACAGGGTTACGCTGCATAACCGCTACACAGTCTGACATCTGCTCTCCTGTTTCAGCCCCATGGAGGAGGACGCCGACCTCCAGGAGGTGCATGATCCGCTGTAATCACACTTCACGTTTTAGGAACGAGACGTCTGAGCTTCATTCATTAACATGCAGCGTGTTCTCCTTCCAGCCCGACATCAGGCACAAGGACGTGGACCCTCACCTCAAACACCTCTTCATGCAGATCTGTGGAAACGTAACAGCAGTTTTTATGTCACAGTTCTTACACGGCTCCACTTCCTGTCCACAACAAACATGTTTTCATATTTTCCAGGACTCGGAGATCTCCGCCTTTGAGCTCCAGCAGATTTTGGACAAAGCGGAGTAAGAAGAGTTTAACGTTTCACCGGATTGGGCCCACAGGAAAGTCCCGCTGATGGTTGTGCTCTGCTCTGATTTCAGGGTTGGACATTATAACCGATGGCTTCAGCCTGCAAACCTGCTGTGACATCATCAGCCTGCTGGATGTATCCTTCATACGAAATCATGACACGCAGACAGTATCACATGCTAACGTGTGTTTGATAGAGTTTTAGGACACGCCTCCACTGGAAACTACAAAAAACACAGAAAACTTCCAGAATTTTCTAACATCCACGCAGTTTACAGCCCATCAGCAGAAAACTGATACGTGATCAATCCTCTCAAACATTCAGCTTTGATACTAATGAGTTTTTTGGGTTCATTGAGAACATGGTTGTTGTTCAATAATAACATTATTCCTCAAAAATACAACTTGCCTAATAATTCTGCACTCCCTGTATATAAAAACAGCAATAAGGAACCTGTAGCTGTGAGGTTTACTTATGTGTTTAATACCAGTGTCTGAATATGACAGGAAGTGAGGTCAGGCCCTCGGGTACTTGTCACATCATCAACTCTTCATCAGCTGTCCAGACCTCCATATGTGATTAATGCCGTATTTAAGCAGCTGTTTATTGTGACTGCATCTCTCTGACAGCAGGAGGTGGTGGTGGGTGGAGGCATTTACTCAGTAAACATGGAGTGCCGCCCGGCCCGGAAAGCAAACAGAGCTGCACAATCAGCGTTTCAGGTCGAAGTGATTTCCAAAGCTCACCGACCTCCAACACACTCGAAGCGCTTCATAACTGGGCTTTTATTTTAGAGGGCTCTGCTGTAGTTTCTCTGGTCATTTTTTATAAATGATATTTGGTCCTGAGCTTCTCTGCTCCTTCATCCTGCTCTCAGCTCCTCGTCCTCCTCTGTGGAGAACAGAAGCTCTCAGCTCTAAACTCATAAGTTCTAATATTCAGAGAGACGGTGGATATACACTACCTGTCAAAGGTCTGGACACACCTCACTTATTTTTACGACATTCGACAACGTTGATACTGAAGACATCAAATATATGAAGCAACATGTATGCAATCATGTAGCAAAGAAAAAACAGATAAATGTGTTTATATTTTAGATTCCACCCTTTGATTTGTCGACAGCGCTGCAAACCCTCGGCCTTCTCCCAGTGAGCTTCATGATGTCGTCACCTGACATGGCTTCACCTCACAGGTGTGCCCGTCAGGGTTCATTGGTGGAGTTGGTACAGCTGACAGCCTGTTTGACAACTGTTAGAATTCATCTTATGGGAGGAACCAATCAGCTAATTAAAGAGAAACAAGAGTCCATCATTAGTGTGTGTATAAATCCTGCACTTAACACTATGTTACTCTGTTGGTGTCGGGGACCCGATCCTTGGGGTGGACCAGTTTTTGGCGCAGCGTGTTTTGGGGTTTAAAAGCCACAGAGACCTGGTGTTTAGAAAAAATACATCTCTGCTGCTCCGATACTCCTGACACGTACGGCATCACTGCAGGTTTTCTCTTAGGCAGCGGTTGTCCTTCTCTCCTGGATCAGCTGGAGCTTTCCCAGCTTTGACAAATGTCTTGACCATCAGTGACTGTTGATCAACGACAATCTGCAATTTTAATGATCAAGAAACTGACCTCACAGCCCATCGTTCACACAGTGGGCTGGTTTCAGTCTTTATTTCTGGTTTATAAGGTTGTAAACTTGCAGTCAGCTGAGACTGAAGGAGTCACCTGACGATGCTGAAACATCCAGATGAACAGAATCAACCTTTTCTGCACCTGGATAATCGCACATCAACAACCAAGCAAAGGGTGGTGACTCTACAGAATCAAAGTTATTTCACACTTTTTGTTTCCCACGTGTTCATTCATAGTTCTGATGCCTTCAGTGAGAATCATGAAAATAAAGAAAAAAACCATTAAATGAGAGGCTGTGTCCACACTTTAAACTGTAAAAGGTCTGCAGCGCACATAGATTAGATAAATAGACAAATAGATGAGAAGTGAAACAGAAACTCTGAATGCCCCTCAAAGTAAAGCTTTGAGAGTTTTTGTGTCAGAGCCTGTTAGACCTCTCCCTCAGCAGCACTCAGTCAGTGTGACGGCGCCCTCTGCTGGTTCCTCGCAGCGTCTCAGCTGGACTCAGGCTCGAGTGCCAGACGTGCACCACCTTATGTTGTCGTTGTGCTGGAAGGTGAAACTCATCTTCATCTTTCTGGGACCCCTGCAAACAGAAACCACCACACCACGCAGACCGCCAAGGTGGCGCACACGGGTGCAGCTTGCACTTAACCTCCGCCCTCTCCATCTGCAGGGGGAGCAGCTCTTACGAGGCCCTGAGCGGCGGCTTGAGCATCGAGGGCTTCGAGGATTTTACCGGCGGCATCGCAGAGTTACGACCTGAAGGAAGCCCCGCCCTTCCTGTTCCACATCATTTTTCCTTCCCACTGTCAGCAAAGTTCTTGATCATAGGGGGTCATGTGATTGTTGGGGTTTCTCTGTATTTTTGGAGGGTTCTTACTTTACAATATAGGCACCTTCAAGTGTCTGCTGTCTGTTTTGTGACAAATAGATCGAATTGAAATAAGCCTGATCTTGAAAGTAGAGATAGTGTCTGTCTCCTGAATCCAAACTGGAAGCTGGTTCCACAGAAGAGGGGCCTGAAAACTGAAGGCTCTGCCTCCCATTCTACTTTTAAATACTCTAGGAGCAACAAGTAGGCCTGCAGAGCGAGAGCGAAGTGCTCTAATAGGGTGATATGGTGCTACAAGGTCATTAAGATAAGATGAAGATGCTGAGGCACTGAAATCAATATATAAATCATGATGTCACTGGCTTCCTGTTAATGTTACAGTGCCCGATGTCACTAAGCACCAATGACATCATGGAGAGGACCAGTCAGAGAGTAAATGAGTACATTTACTGTATTACTAATGTACTTGTAGTGAAGTTCTTCTGTTTTATTCTACTTTCATATGTTGGATTCAAATATTTCACTTTGTTTTCTGTCACTTTAATTATTGAAACATGCAGTCACTTCTTTACTCACCAGGGGCCCACATGTTCAGTCTAGTGTCCTCTGACACTGAGCCATGTGTCAGAGCAGCTCTGAGCCACCGGCGTGGTCCTCACAGGTGTCCCTGTAGATATGACTTCATGGAGACACCAACCCTCCTCTTCCTCCTCACTGCACTGTTAGCACTTGGCCCCAACCCTAAAAATATCCTTTCCAGATTTCAGATTTCCAGCTCGTATGAGACGGAGCTCATCAGAAGCTGGCCAAAGGCCACACCTACTCCATCGCGGCGGCCGAGCAGGTGAGGGAGAATCTGTGATCATGTGATCAGATCGACAGCTGGACAGATGCTCACAGGTGTAACGTTCTGCAGGTGCATCACTGTGGTTCTCCGGTGGAGCTGATCCGGATCAGGAACCTCTGGGGTCAGGTGGAGTGGACGGGCGCCTGGAGCGACAGGTGAGTCATGGTGCTCTGAGGTTCTGGAGCATCATCCTTAGCTGTGGTTTCACTGTGGTCAGCTCGAAGGAGTGGGGCGGCGTTCGGGCAGAGGAGAAGAGGCGGCTGGATTGCTGCGCTGAGGACGGCGAGTTCTGGTAGGTGGAGCCTGACAGTAGTGGGTTAAAATGTCTGCAGCTGCTGCAAACTCAGCCCATCTCTGCCGCCTGCAGGATATCCTACCACGACTTTCTGAGTCTCTTCTCCCGCCTCGACATCTGTAACCTGACACCTGACACGCTGACCAGCAACGAGGTCGGCCGCTGGAACTTTGCTGAGTTTGAGGGCACGTGGAGGGTGGGATCCATCGCCGGCGGCTGCAGGAACTACCCCGGTAGCCCACAGGAAGTGACGCACTCTGGGTGATGATGTTTGATGTTCTTGATGCAGAGCGCTCAGCTAACATGTGCTCCTGTGTCTCCGCAGCCATCTTCTTCATCCAGCTGGACGACGTGGACGATGATCCTCACAATGGCGAGGAAGGCTGCACCATCCTCATTGGTCTGATGCAGAAAGATGCTCGAAGGGAGAGGCGCTTCGGACGTGACCTCAACACCATCGGCTTCGCCATCTACGAGGTTCAAACGCACCCGGCACTGAGCTGATCACTTCCTGTTTAGCTTTGCTGTGCATGAACAAAGGTTTGGCGAGTCTCATGCTCTCTGTCGGTGTGCTTCCAAGTGCCCGATCAGGTGAGAACACAGCAGAAGTTCACCGAGTACACGGCTCCTGCGATGACCTCAGCAGGTTAGAAGGTTGATGCCTAAGGTGGACCTCATTCGTTAATATCTCCATGGAAACGCCCTAATGAGCATAAAAAACTAGCCCAAAAATCACAGTCACACTCAAACCTCTGTTAGCCAATCAGAATCAGGCTTCTTGACACATTCTGCCAACACCCACACCTGCGCATATAAAGAAACAGGTGGAGGTGCAGAGAGACGCCGAGCATCGCCATAGAAACCGTATCATGTTGAGGTCTGAATGTTTCTAACATTTAATATGAACCCTGCTGTTTGGTGTTGATGTCTTTATTTCATCTTCCCCCTCCGACATCACGTTCCCCGTCTGCATTTGTTTCATGCGTCGTGTTCATCACTCAATGTTTCTCTTTTTAAATATTCAACCTTTATTGAACCAGGACGATCCCACTGAGATTAAAACTCTTTTTAAGGGAGACCTGGCCAAATATCACACAGTTACAAAGATTAAACACACACACGAAAATAAAATGAAATGACAATCTACATGAAACAGTTACATGTTATGGAACTGGCCTCCAGGACTCTTAGTTTTGATTTAAAAAAACGAATGGTCCAAGGAGCGTGGAAAGAAAAGCGTCTGGGCTTCTTTAAGGCTGCGGCCACACTACTGCGCTTTCATTTTGAAACGCGTGGTTTTCTCTCTCCCTTTTGGCCTCCTGTCCACACTGAGACGCGTTTTCCCTGACAGAAAACGAAGTGTTTTGAAAATGCTGCTTTTGTGTCGCAGTGTGGACAGCGAAAAGGGCGACTTTATAAAACAATGATATATGTTAGTCATGTGATGCAGTGACCAATTAAACTAAGATAGTGGAGGGCATTACACAGCATTGTTTTGTCTGCCCTATTAAAGATTAACATCAGTCTGCACGTGCTTCAGGTAGCTTTTCTTCAAATTCTTTAATTCTCACTCGCTTTTGCAACGTTGTACTTTTGTGTTACTCGCAGCAACAACTCCACCTCATTGTTAGTCCATTTTAAAAACTCGGTGCTTTTCCTCGACATTTTGCCGCGACGTTTCA